AAAAAATAATAATGAAATATATAAATTAAGGACTAAATGATAGAAACATTATAGAAAATGTTAAAATGTTAGTTTATCCCATCATGGTGGATAGTTCCCAGATCAAAAATAACTGTTTTCTTGAAGTTTGTGGTTAAGTTTTATTTTGCAGTGACCTTATTTTCAAAACAAGTATTTTAAAATCCTAAAGTGTATGGTTGTGTTGTGCAAATCAAAATGTCAAGCTACTGGTTTATCTGCATTACAATTGATTATGTCTCTGAGATGTTCTTGAATAAGTTCTGCTAATAATCTAGTGCTTTCTCCAATGTATAAATGTCTACAACATTTGTATATAATAGAATATATGATTCAATTTTATGTGCTGTTATATTGATTTTAATTTAAAATTTTGGTTTAGGACCCTGCATGGATATTCTTGGGTCTATGTAAGGACACATGCTGTAGCACCTTCTATTACAACTACCTTTTTTGGGTGGGTTTTTGAGGGTCGCTGTGAACTAAGGAGTTTCCAATATTGGAATCATAATAGTAGGAGACTATGGGGAGGGGTAAGGCTTGAAAGAATATATTTAGTGGTGTCAGATTCCTTTAAAATGTGAAAATTATTTTGAATAATGTATTTAACTTGTTGTATGTGTTGATAGGGGGTAGCCTGGTACAGTAGAGTTTAGAGTTTGTTTCCATGACAGATGAAGAGGAGTTGTGGTCTTGATTTACAACAGAGTTGTGAACTTTTTTTTTTTTCAGAACCTGTTGGGGTTAGGTAGCCGCGATCATGAAAAAAACGATTTCAGTGCTGTGGTACAAGCACTAAAATCACCAGGTTTACTACACAATTTTTGTAGTTTAATGAATTTGGATTTTGGAATGTTATTTTTCATGTGTATTGGATGGCTAGAATTAAAGTGTAAGTAGTTGTGGCACATCTGTGAGTTTATAATTAACATTGGTTGTGATTTTATTGGAAGGCATAGAAAGAAAAATATCCAGAAATGGTGGTGATAAATTGGAAATGTTTGTTAGCCTTCTCGTAGAATTCATTGTTAAAACCCACTACATTTTACAACTAATTCTGCTAGATAAATCAAAGTGTTAGTAGGGATTGAAGTTCAGGACATTTGTGAAAAATATATCTTAAAGCTGTTAAATGTTCTTGTTGGGGTATTAGAGTGTATAATTACTTGATGTTCACTGTAAATAAAAATACTGTCTGGTTTGTTTTAAAAGTAACTGTGTTGAAGAGTCTAATGACATGATAAGTATCCTTAATATAAATAGGGAGTGAGTATACGAGGGAAGCCATTACAGAATCTAAATAACTGAATATAAGTTTAGTTGGAGCATTACAGATAGACACAATAGGTGTACCGGAATTCTCAAGCTAGTGAATTTGAGGCATTAATAAAAAACACCTGTTCAAGAATTACAAATTGTTAATATCAAAGTTTTAGCAGATATAGATAGTTTGTCAGCCTCAATTAATTTGTATACCGTATTGATGATGGTTTCATGATATTTTGGTAGCGGATCGTCCTGAAGCAGCCTATATGATACTAAGTCACTCGGTTGATGTTATGCTTGCTGTAGGTAAAGATCCTTACACCAAGCAATGAAGCAGCTTGTATGATAGTAAATCACTTGGTTGATGTGTAAAGATCCTTACACCATGTGATGAAGCAACTTGTATGATAGCAAGTCACTTAGTTGATGTGTAAGGATCCTTACACCATGCAATGAAGCAACTTGTATGACAGTAAGTCACTTGGTTGATGTGTAAGGATCCTTACACCATGCGATGAAGTAGCTTGTATGATAGTAAGTCACTTGGTTGATTTGTAAAGATCCTTACACCATGCAACGAAGCAGCTTGTATGATAGTAAATCACTTGGTTGATGTGTAAGGATCCTTACACCATGCGATGAAGCAGCTTGTATGATATTAAGTCACTTGGTTGATGTGTAAGGATCCTTACACCATGCGATGAAGCAGCTTGTATGATATTAAGTCACTTGGTTGATGTGTAAGGATCCTTACGCCATGCGATGAAGCAGCTTATATGACAGTAAGCCACTAGGCTGATGTGTAAAGATCCTTACACCATGCAACCACAGTTCCTTTTTATCTGATGGTTTGATACTATCATCTTGAGAATGAGTGAGTTGTAATGCTTTGCACTCTTCATGGGTGAGGTTGTTCTTAGAGTTTTGTGCTTTGTAGTTAAGTTTGTTGACCTTAGTATTACATTTATCTGTATGATAATCAAGTCATAGAAGTGACCCATAGGAAGGGATCCATCTGCCATTCGAAACAGAACTTTTCCATTTATGAATTTACTCTTCAGTTATAGATACCTGAAGACGGGCATTGTTCGAAACAGGGAATGTTTAATCATAATTAAATTACATTGTAAATTTAACAGCAATCATATATTTCAAAGTAATAACTAGAACATAAACTTTATCTCAAAATTTTAAAATTATATCAAAGCTCCTTCGTAAACAGCATTTGCAGTTTACTTTCCATCTACCAACAAATAAAGATATTAAGGTGATCCCACCTTTGAACACCCTACATCTCAATTTCCATGAGAAAAGCATGGTTGTTTGAGAAACAATCCAGCAACTTTCAAACTTTGACCTTGAATCCCTTTAGAATATTCAACATTGTCTAAAGCGTCAACCTGCCAAGATTGTTTGAGATTGACTCAATAGGCTGGGAGTAGTTAACCAACAGGCTTTACAAAATAGAAATAGGGTTAAGTTAAATTTTTATCCCTTTAGGACATTCCCTAAAGTTCAAAGTGTTTACAATAAATATTTTGGTTGAGATTGGCCCAATAGGCTCAGAGGAGTTAGGGTGCAAACAAACACATTTCATCTTTATATATATAGATGTATATGTAATTAACACCTCGTTGTCTTCAGTGTTTAACCCACAATGTAATTTTTGTTTGTTTATATAGTCTACTCTACAGTTTTTGTATCATTGTTGTTGGGTTCTTCTCTGTTGTTTACACTTTAACATGTTAATTTCTTTGATGCTTCTAAAAGATCCTTTAAGTTTCCTTCATTGACTCTGCAACTTTTATTGTTTGAAGGCTTTACCTGATTACATTGGTAATATGTTAAGTTCTTTCCTTTTGTCAAACTATGTTTTTGCTTTGTATTTAGTGCAGGGTTTCCCTTACGACTTGTTCTGTAAGTATTTTGGTTTGTTAAGACACTTTAAAAATGTTTGTTCTTTCGAACTATGTGGTATTAAGACAGAATATTTATATTCATAAGATTATTTTTTTTTTAAGTATAATTATATTTTCTTTATAGAGTTAATAAAACTTCTTCCTAGGTATTGTACCAACTTTTTATTGTTCCTCATTATACATAGTACATTGTTATTAGTTTCATTACACTACATTGTAAAAGGACAATTTCTAAACGTTATTTAATTAGATGGTTGAAAGTTAATTTGAAAAGTTTATCCATTGGTTGTGATATAAAGATAAAATATTGTTTTATCTTTGTCAAGACATTTTAGACATAGGCTAACTATTTAGTATTTTTTGTCACCTTTAATTGTAGGTAGAATTTGTTTTTATTTCATCTTTGTGTTAGTATTTTTTTATGTTTAATATTCTGTGACTGACTCTTCACTTTTCAGTTGTTTTGATATTCATTCTGTGGGGTAAGAGTTCTTAACTTATTTGTATTCACACTATTTCTTAACTTATTTTTTTTAGTTAGCTTGCTTTGATTAACAATTATTGATAATAATTTGGGATTTGGAACCATACATGCTTTATTAATCTTTAAAAAACCTTGATCTAGTGCCTGTTGCAGAAATTTTTCTGTGTAATATGTTTAAGATGCTTTTTGGTTTATTATTAGAATGCCAAGTCTTATCTGTTAAATGATTTACTCCAGATAGATCTCCGCAATCGACAGGTAGTTTTGGATTATCCAGACCACAACAACAGCCACATGAAGTTGCCATTCAGTGTTGATGAAGATGCTGGTATTCTCTGCTCAGGTGGTCAGGATTGTATGACAAGGCTTTGGAATCTTAATGATGGAAAACTTTTGAATGTAATTTCTCCACAATCGTCAGACTCTTTTCAGCCTTGGGCGTGGTACTCGGAATCATGGAAAATGCTCTCTGGTGGTAGAAATTCAGGCTTGGTGGTGGTATCAGGTGTAGACTTAGAAGTCTACAAAACATGTTAAAAAGAGTCCTGTTCAAGTAAATTGAGATACTAAACTTAAAACACAAATTCTTTCTAACACCAAACTATTTGATCAAATTTTTCAATAAATTACAAAGTCAGTATCATTTGATTGCCTTATAAAACTATAAGTAGATTTTTGAGTTTGAAAACATTAATAGTTTAATTTTTGAAATGCAGAACATAACAGCTTAATTAGAAAATATGCACACCTAAACTGAAACAATTAAAGTGATGATTTGGAAGTCTGTTGTTATTTGCATATGTAAACGTTTAAGGTTTAATAAACTCAGTTACAATAAATATCACATTTGTGCTTTTTGTATGAATTATCTACATGGAGAGCATATTCAGCAGAATAGAACATAGTTATGCTTCAAGTGGTTTGTCTAATGTCAACTTAATCTTCAGAGGAGTATAACCAGTATAGCAACTACACAGAGAACTAAAATTTGTCAATATGGAAAGTATATGGTAAAGCATAATTTTTCGGTGTTGGATATATACATTGTTCTCCAGATTGAATTTATTACACAGCTTCATATAAGTAACACTGTAATGAAAAGCTAGTATTTAAGATAGCATGTTAATTTTAGTTTCTGTTTTGCATGGGTGTTGGAATATGTTTTTATTACTTGAAAAAAATCTGTTTTATTGATCAGTGTAACCGTCGTTCTTAATGTTCTCCCAGTTTCATCTTAAAAAGCAGATGGAGGCAGTGAATAGTAGTTTGGTTAGTAGGAAATTATGGATTAGAGCAATTACGAGGTAAACCTAATTTTGTATTTCTAGTGCTGTGTGAGCCCATCATCAGCTAAAAATCTATTTCACTAGGGAAAATTTATCTGAAAGTTTATACTCTTGTTTAGCTTGTATAATCTACCTTGGGTATGGGTGAGTGGTGCATACATATTTGTACAATCATTTAGAATTATTTTATTACATGTTACAGCTTTTATAGTAAGGAAAAATATTTTAACACTGGTACGACGTTTCATCACTGGTGCGATCATTCTCAAGTTTTTAACGGTAAAGAAGCTGTAGACCTCTTTTAGCGTCATCTTCTGGCCATTAGGGAAATATAGAAGTAAGAAATATTCAAACGTAAAAATGTAACGACTTCAAGAGTATTGGCTCAGAGGCCTCGCTAGGCGCTAGCACACGGGTCCCGTTCCCTGTTTCTATTTGACAGTTTCCCGAATTCCATATTGGTGTCTTGTGAAATCAGAATAGAAAACCATGAAACGTTGATAGCTTATTTAAAGCGTTAAAATCCGTGATTCAATTTAATTTTTGGCTACTAGATAACATCACATCCGAATTGAAAGGTATATATTTTCTCCAATTTTTACACTGGTTTAGCCTATGTGCGATATATATGTATATAATTAACTACTTTAAGACAAAAATGAATATAACAAATTGCGAACATTTCCCATTTTCTTACAAATGGTGCTATTTACTCTAGAAAACGTCAAATACATTTTCATGTCCTATTACTAAAATTAATTGCATAAAGTTTAAAAACAAAATTTTCTCGAACAGAACCAACATAAAAGTATTAGCGGAAGAGGGGTAGAGACCGAATGCCGTTCATTAATTCTAAATTTGATCCCTTTATATGTCTCATGTCATCCTCCAGTTGGAGCTAGGACTGTTGAAAATTTCCAGTACAGTACATTACCTCCTCTCACGCAATGAGCTATTCTTCGTTTTTCCTGGCAGTTATTTAGAGTTAAAAATAATCATTTCCGAAGAAATAATTACTAATCTGGAGTGCTCGAAGATTAAACAATCCTCCTTCACCCCGCTCGTGGTCTAGGAATATGGGCTTAACTTGAGAAAATAGGAAATTAATGCAGACGAGGTATGTAATTTTAAAAAGGTAAACGAGAGAGTAACTGTAGACAATAAAAGGTGAAGAGCAAAGTAAACTAAACGCCGAAATCGAATAGACAGAGCTATTCTTGTTCAGTGCTGTCCTCTATATACAAAAAATAATTTCGCATGCCTCAAGCCTTTTACCTCCCCTCCATTGAAAATGATTCATTCCAATGTGTGTGTCATGCAAATCATTATGCGACAACCCTCCACAAATGAGAGTACCACACACACTCTCGTTACGCATGTGACTCCCTCTATTCAATTCTACTTTAACAGTCATACTTCCGAAGTGGTTTTTAATCGTTTTTGATTAAACAACTGATGAATTTATTTTCAATTTACTTTCCAGTCTTTATTTATTTTTATTTTTTCGCATATTTGTATTTATTTCTGAAACAACTTGTGTTATTTATTATTTACCATGAATTCCGAGGTTCATGAAACCACTTCCGGTCTCACACCTACTATAAGAACTTTTTCACTCTGCCGGTGGGGCGACCTGTTGTTGGATTTATCCGCGATTATTCGCCAAGAGATTGATCGTTATATGGGTCAACCACCTTCATCTGAATTTTCACCACTTCCTCACAAACAGTCCGAACCTGTTTGTTCTGATGAAGATTTTGATAGCCTTTTTTCACCACCGGATTTTGCCGTGTTTTTCTATGCCCCACATGCGGAATCAGCTAGGCCTAATACTGCATTTTTAGTCATGATTTCTCAGGTATGTGATGTTTTATTCCTTTCCCCGATTTCCTATGATCCTCGTCTCCTTTGTTGCACGATAGTTTTTCTTTTCCCTATTTAGTTTTCCCACCTTTCCCGGATTTTAGGGTTCATGCTGATAATTTGCTTCTCAATTGGTTGAGGGTGCCAGCATGCCTCGCCCTCAGCAGGCTACGGATCAGTTTGTTTTGGCATACCATCATGCAGACTGTCCATTTCTAGAATCTCAGTTGTAGGGGTCTATTTTGCCAATTTGGGGGCACTCCCTGATTTTCTGGGGTGTATAACCCATGCCCAGTTTTCATGCCTTCGTCTTACCCTTACTTCCTTTATATGGTCCTTATCTACCATACATCTACTTTCAGAGGCCATGCGCCGAAATCCTGAGGGTATTTTGAGGACAGCCTCTCCCTTATTACCTCTGTATTGGCTTGTTTGTTATCCTTGGCTCTTGCCTTGCACATGTGGTTTCTTTGTTGTTGGGATCTTCTGGGTTGTGCTGCAGCCTTGTCACAGGTTCGTTTGCCGCCCACTTATCTCAGGAAATTACATACAGCCCATTTTCTCAGATTGTATGTTTTCGACCATATCCCAGACACTTTGGAAATCTCTGTATTAACAGAGATAGCTTTGATAGCTCGTTTGTCACAGTCGAAATAACAACAAGCTTTTATTCCTGTCCTAGTCCTACTCAGCCCTTACCTGTTTCTTCTTCCAGAGGTTCTGTATCTAGGTTTTTTTCTTCAACATAGATCAGCATGATGCCAACAGTACTGGTGACTACCCGGTGGGTTCTGGTTCAGTTGGAGCTCGATTGTCCAATTTTTCCCCTTTGGCGATATTTCATCACATATAAGTGGGTTATTTGGGTTCTCTCAATTCCTTTCCTCTCCTCCTTTGTTACAGATATTCTTTCCTTCTCTCAGCCTCAGGATCCCATTACCAACCAGCATCTGTCAGAGATGGTTCAAGATCTTCTGTCTCAACAGGCCATTGAACCTGTGAATCATCTTTCTCCCAGTTTTTATTCCAGACTGTTTGTTGCCTCCAAGAAAACCGGAGACTGGCGGCCTGTCATAGAATTGTCTTGCCTCATTCATTTTCTCAATCTCCCATGGAATTATTTCTCACCCCCAGGGAGAATTTTTCTCCAGGCTTATGGATGTCGCGAATGCTTACTTACGTATACCAATAGCTTGGCACTCGTGACCATATCTTTGGTTTCTCCATCAAGGAGTGATTTATCAGTCTTATGCACTACCCTTTGGACTTGCTTCGGCCCTGTATGTTTTTGTCAGGTGGTTCGAGCTTTTGCTTGTCATCTTCATACTCTTGGAATGGATACTCATTATTAATATATAGGTGACAGGCTGCTATTAGCTCGATCTGAACAGGAGTCTGCTTGTCATACTCTTCAGCTGCTCTGGGAGGCGGCTCGGTGGGCTGGTTAATCAAATTGAAGAAGTCTTTTCTTCGACCTATCCAATATCTGATCCAATTGGGTGTTTTTTCAACACCTATCTGAGTTTGAAACAACCTTCTCCTCTTTGACTTTGTTGGTTGGAGCTTTCAGTTCACCATACTCTTACTGTTCCCTCTCTTACAGCTCTCGAGGTTCTATCACTTTTGGGGATGTGCTCATATGCAAGCTCTTCAGTGTTTTTTTCACGACCAGTGGAATCTTGCACGGGATCCTTTGCAGGCTCTTACTACCCTTCCTTTTACCTAATCGACGATCTGCATTGGTGGTTGAACAGGACCCATACGTCAGTGGGTGTCTCACTTCCTGCTCCTCATCCAGATTTACATATTTTCATGAACTATTCCTTCCAGGGATGGGGGCGTGTGTCTATCAGCAGGAAGCTTTGGGGTGTTGGTTTGTGGTGGAGAAGTCTTATCTTATCAACACTCTGGAGCTTCTCGCTGTCCGTCGGGCCTTGAATCATTTCCTCCATCTAGCCAGACATCATTTGGTAATGATTCATTCCCACAATTCGACAGTGGTTGCTTATCTCAATCATCAGGGTAGCATCCATTCTCGATCCCTATGTTTTGACATGTTGGATCTTCTTTCCTGGGCCCAGACACAGGATATTTATATCATTGCATGTCATGTTCTGGGTGCTTTCAATCTTGTTGTAGCTCATCTTTCCCATCCACACAGAATCTATCAGATGGAGTGGTCTCTCGATCCTATGATTTTCCAATGGCTTTGCCTTCAGTGGGTCACTCTTCACATCAGTGCATTTGCCAAAACTCCCTCTGTTTTTTTTCTACAGTCCTTCATCCTATTGCCCTGGCTTTTGTTACTTTCAGTCAGGATTGAACCAACAAATACCTATATATTTATCTTCCCATTCGACTCCTTCACTGGGTGACTTCACTAATCCATACCACTCTGTGTCAGGTTCTTATGATTGCTCCTTAATGGCCAGCTCAGCTGTGGTTTTCTTAACTTATCCAGCTCCAACTTACCTCTTCATTACTTCTTCCTCTGTCTCCCTCCCTTCTTTGGCATCCTTGGGCATCTTGTTCTCCACCTTCATGGTTGGGTTTTATCTGGTCCTTGGCGAGAAGATTGGGATCGTTTCTGGCCCATTACATCTGCTCTTCCTCCATGGAACATTTTGTGTCGTTGGTTTCTGGGCCAGTGGTTTTTGGCTGATCAGCCCACTGTTCCTCATATTGCAGAATTTA